CAATCCAAAACAGTCCAGTGGAGCCTGAGCAGTGGGTGTTGCCTTCTGACACACTTCCGGTGATGTCAGGGGGTGTGGCATATGGAAATAAGTTATGCTAATGAGTTATGCTAATGAGCTCCTGCACCCCTTTTTCTACAAAATGACCCCTGGTCACGGTTATCGTAGATAAGGCCCTGGCTTCAACGGCGCTTTCTCTCCCACGCATGTCATAAAGTGAGCTAACAGTCTATTTTATCTCTTTGGCAATATACATATTTTCAAAAAGCAACAAGGGGCACAGACCTAATCCATGTGACAACAAATAGACGGAGAGGGTATCGCCTCGTTGGGGGAAACGTTTGGCTGTTAAGCAACAAGGTTTTCACATGAGGCTGTTCAGTACAGGGAGGGCTGCTTGCTTCCATCCAAAGAGCTACGCGTGGGAGAGCTCACACCCTCTCTGGGGAGACCTCAGCTTGCGCTGGCTTCTTAATTGCTTGTTAGGCAGAGTGCCGGTAATTGGGGGGGGGGGTGGAGGAGCCCCACGGGCTTTGCAGCGGTCTTCGTCGCATCTTCTTTCGACATCGGATAGAACGATTTATAGCTCGAAAAGTTTCTAACGTTGGCCCAGTACAAGACTGCGCGCCTCGACCTCACCAGAAGAATCCCTTCTGCGTAGTTCTATCGTGTTCTCGGCCCAAAATTGCCAATGGCAATTTTGGGCCGAGAACACGATAGAACTACGCAGAAGGGATTCTGCCCGGCCTCAGGTGTTAGACCGGACGAGGGTGCCCCGCCTCCTGTCCCAAGTGGCAATGCAAATCACATTGCCGAACATGGTCAACGGCCTACACTGCCTCTCGTCAGCTTTTTAGCGGCCCTGGGAAGAAACTGAATCACCTGGGTCGCGGCGAACACAGAAACGGAACCCATAACGTTGCCACCGTAACTCGCTACGCACACATTGGGCTGACTCTCAGATTCAACCGGCAAAGATCTGCGCTCCCCGCTGTCAGTGGTCTGGACAAATTCAACCTCCGAGTCAGAACAGGCCGAGTCCGCCTTTCTCTTCTTGGGAGACAAGGCACGGCTTCTGTCACCGCTCCCTGCGTCTTCCTCTTTGGCTTCGCGAACCCCGGCTTCGGCCTGCCTAGATCCAGCTCTGCTCATCAGTCTGCCTGGAAGGCGAGCAAAATGTTGAGGGTGACACCGCTCGCACAGCCAGAGACGACCTCCTAGGTACCACTTCCGAAAGCAGGTACAGGGGGAGGCTTGTGTGTGACAGAAAGAGGCATGAACACACAACGTCTCCCAGTTGTTTCGGAGGAACACCTGGCCAGCATTTGCTCCCTCACCACCCCCAAAAATAGCACTGCTGGAGGTCACAGGGAAACCCAAGAGAGCCAGTGTGTTGTAGGGGTTAGGGTGTCGGACTAGGATCTGCCATGGAAGCTTGCTGGGTGACCTTTGGCTGGTCACACCCTCTCAGCCTAACCTACCTCACAGGGTTGTTGTGAGGATTAAACGGAGGAAATGAGAGAAGAGGAGGAGGAGGAGATTGGATTTACACCCTGCCCTTCACTCAGAGTCTCAGAGTGGCTTAAAGTCTCCTTCCCTTCCTCTCCCCACAACAGACACCCTGTGAGGTAGGTGGGGCTGAGAGAGCTCTTGACAGAAACTGCTCTTGAGAGAACAGCTATGCTGAGAACTGTGGCTGACCCAAGGTCACCCAGCTGGTTTCATGTGGAGGAGGGGGGGGGGATTCAAACCCGGTTCTCCCAGATTAGAGTCCATGTGCCTAACCACTATACCAACATAAGAGAAGCCATGTTGGATCGGGCCAGTGGCCCATCCAGTCCAACACTCTGTGTCACAGAGTGGCCAAAAACCAGGTGTCATCAGGAAGTCCACACCAGCAGAGCCAGAACTCCAGAAGCCCTCTCAGTGTTGACCCCCCAAGCACCAAGAATACAGAGCATCACTGCCTCAGACATAGTGTTCCATCTATACCTTGCAGCTAATAGCCACTCATGGACCTCTGCTCCATATAATTATCTAATCTCTAAGCTTGTAGCTGCCACCACTTCCTGTGGCAGTGAATCCCACGTGTTAATTAAGCCACTATGGGTCCCCGTTGGGGACAAAACCTGGGTATAAATGAACTTAAAGCATCAATAAATCAACTCAAAGGCATGGTTGCCTCCCTAATCCTATAAACAAATGCGATATCACAGTAAACAATTACAGAAAACAAGCAAGCACTGTATAAATAACGCAGACCACAAGTGCTCAAACGTCATGCAAAAAGAGGTAGTTTATATCACAAGAATAACAGAAGACCACATGTATCAGCTTTTCTTCAAGAAGTTCACAGAGCACTCACAGTGTATAAAAGCCTTGTTACTTACGAGTAGAAATAGTAATTGATCTTTCAATCCCTTGTCACCTTAAAACTCTTGACTGCTATGGTGCCTAACAGATATTGGCTACAGTATATCAAGCCTTTAGGTGCTGACTATTTTCTGAGGCTTACTGACTATTGAAGAGTTTGTTCCTTTGCTGATCGGGTGCTCGGCTTTGAATGATTATAATAGGATTGGTGAGCATTATGACCCTTCAATAGGTTTTGTGTATTGTTACTGTAAATATTGATATTATAAGAGCATTTTCTTAATCTTTCATGTTTCAGAATTTTCTCCTGTAATACTGGTTTGAAGGCTTTTATACACTGTGAGTGCTGTGTGAAGGATTTTTCCTCCTACATATACCATTTCAAAGTCTTCTATACATTATGAGTTCTTTATGAAGGTAATTTCTGCCTCTTAATATTCAGGGTATGGTTTTGATTACAATATATGATATTAAAAGCCTGGTTTTACTTGTAATTATAGTAATGTGAACTTCTTGAGGAAGAGCTATCGAAATGAAGATCAAAATCCGGAGTCTTCATCCTTTTATCTGTGTACCATTTATGGACTTGCACTATTCATGGACATTATATGATGTAAATGTATTTTACTGATATATGTGGTCTTCTGTTATTCTTGCTATATAAACTACCTCTTTTTGCATGACGTTTGAGCACTTGTGGTCTGCGTTATTTATACAGTGCTTGCTTGCTTTCTGCCTCACTAATCCTCTCACCAGCCAGGGGTCCGTCTTCTCATGGTCAAATTTCCCCCCAAAAGGGAGCAGGGTGGCTGAACAATGCTTGCTGTACAAGAGATACCGTACATTCCATTCACAACGCTTTAGCCTATTTCTGTCATTCTTCCTTCCTCTCTGACGACTCACCATTCAGGTCAGTACCCATCAACTATCACCAACTAATGCTTACCTTGGTCTCCACTCTCCCTCCCATCTGCATTCTCCTTAAGCAATAATAGATACGAATTGTCTGTCAACAAAAGAAAACCCCAACAACCTCTTTCTTTGATTACCAGATGGACAGAATCAAAACCGGCACTAACAGGTTTGTTAAAAATGTGCAAGGATTTGTATCGAAGCAAACGTGAAAGAAACACCAACTTTAGAGAATGCACCCTCCCCCACAAAAAAAAAGTCTGGCAGACATTAAATTATGACTCTGTCAGAATACAAACCGGGTGTCAACAAAACAAATCCTTGAGAAACTAGAAAGTGGACAGCGTTTTTCTAGCAGTCACAAGATAACTCTGCCCTTTCCTTTCCAGTCATTATGATGCAACTTTGTAATTGTTATGATCCAGATGAACTATTCCCACAAATGGGCTTCACAGAAGGGATCATTACCAATCCCTCTTTCTTACCCTCAAAAGAAGCTTCTGGGGACTGGGTGCCTTCGGGAATGGCCGTGGACGGAATCAGTGCAAAACCCACCCCATACTCATCACTGAATTCATGTCCCGTTTAGGACAGAGCTGGGTAAGTGAAGTAAGTGAAGCAATTTTCACAGGTTCTCCTTTCTCTCTGCACTTCCTCGCTAAATCCCATGCTGTTACCGAGGACTTCCTGCTCTTCATGAGCAGATTTTGGGGTGGGGGGCCAAGGAGAATAAACACGATAGAACTACGCAGAAGGGATTCTGCCCGGCCTCAGGTGTTAGACCGGACGAGGGTGCCCCGCCTCCTGTCCCAAGTGGCAATGCAAATCACATTGCCGAACATGGTCAACGGCCTACACTGCCTCTCGTCAGCTTTTTAGCGGCCCTGGGAAGAAACTGAATCACCTGGGTCGCGGCGAACACAGAAACGGAACCCATAACGTTGCCACCGTAACTCGCTACTCACACATTGGGCTGACTCTCAGATTCAACCGGCAAAGATCTGCGCTCCCCGCTGTCAGTGGTCTGGACAAATTCAACCTCCGAGTCAGAACAGGCCGAGTCCGCCTTTCTCTTCTTGGGAGACAAGGCACGGCTTCTGTCACCGCTCCCTGCGTCTTCCTCTTTGGCTTCGCGAACCCCGGCTTCGGCCGGCCTAGATCCAGCTCTGCTCATCAGTCTGCCTGGAAGGCGAGCAAAATGTTGAGGGTGACACCGCTCGCACAGCCAGAGACGACCTCCTAGGTACCACTTCCGAAAGCAGGTACAGGGGGAGGCTTGTGTGTGACAGAAAGAGGCATGAACACACGACGTCTCCCAGTTGTTTCGGAGGAACACCTGGCCAGCATTTGCTCCCTCACCACCCCCAAAAATAGCA